ACAGCAGCATAATTTTAAAAGTAACAATCAAAATGTACACAATAATTAAATTGAAGTTTATAAAATGAACAATTCACTATTACGCCCATTTTGTCATGACAATCCTGCATGAAAACAAAATGAACAATTCACTCTTGGGCACATTTTGTCATGACAATCCTACAAAAATAACTCCCCTGAACACAAGATGAAATATGAAGGGCACTCTGGAAACTTCTGTTCCAGGAGATTGTTGAGGGCCTTTTCCTTGTCCTCTTCCTCCATTATAAGGAAAAGAGGCTCTTCCACTGGCCCCCTGAGCAGATGTCTGTTGTAATGGAGCCATTTCACAACTTCTGTCTGGGATTACTGGGATCTCCTTCATTACAGAATATTAAAGGCACATGTAACTTTAATATGTCTTATTAATGTGTGTGTGTGTATGTATGTATACATGTGTGTGTGTGTATATAGATAGATAGATAGATAGATAGATAGATAGATAGATAGATTTGAGACATACCTCACAAGTGTAGCCTTTTTATCCACTTGGAAGGGCCTCTTGTAGGGTTTCTGCACTGTAATGTATATGTATCTTGGTTAATTTCAAATTGGTCAGAAGGGGGTACAAATGTAATGGTGGGCTGGAGGAAATGTCCAGTACCTCTTAGAGAAAACTCCAAAGTTCTCCAGAAGAAAAAGAGTCCACCATCTCCGTATGATTGGAATGTCACACTGGAAGACACAAACATAGAGAAATCTTTAAATATCAACTGCTACAACATCATAAAGGTCAATTACTTTAACTGATAACTACTTACAGATGTAAAATCAAAGGGTGCTCCCAAGACAAGATGTACTGGAAAACAACAAAAAATAAGAATATTCTCCCTGTAAATGGCACAAAAAAACCTTCCTTGTTCCTTATTTAACAACTAAATAATCACACCAATAACTGGTTGCAAAAATGTATAGTATAGCCTAAAATAAATAAATAAGTACACAGGTAAACTATTATGCAATAATAAATTGTGAGTACATTAAACAAACAACTCAAGATATTCATACCTCCACAGACAACTGCCTTGTTGAAGTGGATTTGAAGATGACTTTTTAATTTGACCAGTTTGGCTGGCTTAAACATGCTGGTCAAGCAGAAAATTGCTGGCAATTGCTGTAACACTTGTTGCACTGCTGCAGCTCAGGTAATGTGTCACCTTTCTGAATCCTCA